CTCCTTCGCTGCCTGCATCCACTTGGCCAACTCGGACTTCTCCTTCTTCCTGCTCCCGCGCGCCGCCGCGGCGGCGGCGGCGGTGGCGGCGGCGGCCTCTGCCGCCGCGGCGGCGGCAGCCTCTTCTGCAGGGGCCCCTGCTCCGGTGTTGCCGCCGCCTCCAACCTCTGCAGAAGCCTCTGCCTCTTCCTCCTCGGCATCCGCTGGCTGCTCAGCCTCTTCGCCCTCCACCGCGGAGCCGTCATCCTCCACCTCTGCCTCATCGCAAGGATCTTCGGCACCCGCGACCTCGCCCTCATCGACAATGATCTTCCCCTTGTCAACGTCGCCTGTCTTGGCAAGCTTGGTCGGGCGGCCATCCTTAAGGCGGTCATCCAGACGGCGGCTTTCCTTAACAGGCGTCGAAATGGATGGGCACGGCTGCTTGCCGATGATCGGCGCACGTGTGCGCACGGTCGCAGCGGTAGAGCCCGTACCCTCAGACGAAGGTGCTGCCGTCGATGTACCCGAGCGTACACTTTGCGGTGCCCCATGCTTCTGCTCGCCCTCGGCCTGCATCGCGTTCAGCGCGGACAATGCCTCTTTGGTCAGCTTCAGCTCGCCGACCTGAAGGCCGCGCTCACAATTCAGAGATGGATGATGATGAGGAGGAGGGGGACAAGGAGGAGGAAAGGGGGAAGAGGAGAAGCATATGAGGAGAGGAGAGGAGAGGAGGAGGAGGAGGAGGAGGAGGAGGAGGAAGAAGAGTGGCGGAGTGGAGGAGAGAGTAGGAGGAGTTTCGATGAGCAGGTGGAGGAGCGCGTGAATTCTTTAAAGATGACGGTGAAGAGGGGATATGTATAGCATGAGAGGGAGAGGAGGAGGAGGAGGAGGAGGAGGAGGAGGAGGAGCAGGAGCAGGAGAAGGAGTTGGGTGGTTTTGTAGGAGCATGCGACCTTCTTGGCATCGTTCCAGCGGTCCTTGGTCAGCGTCCAGGTCTTGGAGGCCTCCTCTGTATATCCATCTGTCTGAAAGAGGAACTGCAGCACGTTCTTCCAGGTTGACCAGCGCACCCAGTGTCCTAGGGGTCCAATTCTACAAGTTTCGATCACACATTGAGCTGGCCTGCGGGTTGAAACCAAATCCAGTGGGGTCTCGATGATATATGGTTTAGTCCCGCACGCAAGCTCTCGTCGACCCGTCCCGCCACGGTGTGTTAGAACATATGTATACATATTTGTATATATACATATATATATATATATCCTCCAATCGCCAAGCACTTCAGCGCGTAGAAGAGCGCGATCCTGAGACCCTGCTCGCCGCCCCCCTCCTCCTGCTGCATGCGACCCAGGGTGAAGTACCGCCTGTCGGCCCAGCGCTTGGACGTGTGCTGCTCCTGGAACGACTGCGTCTCCTCGTGGCATCTCAATGGAATCTCAGCGCTGAGATTTCTCAAGACCTCAGTGGGACCCCAGTGGAACCTCAGTGGAACCTCAGTGGAACCTCAATGAAACCTCAACGATTTATCAACGCTGAGGTTTCTCAAGACCTCAGTGGGACCTCAGCGGTACTTCAGTGTAAACTCAATGGAATATCAACGTTGAGAGTTCTCAAGATATCTGTAGGACCTCAATGGAACCTCAGTGGAACCTCAATGAAACCTCAACGATTTCTCAACGCTGAGGTTTCTCAAGACATCAGTGGGATCTCAGTGGGACATCACCTGAACCTCAACGAAATCTCAGCGCTGAGATTTCTGAAGACCTCAGAGGGACCTCAGTGGTAGTTCAGTGGAATCCCAATGGAACCTCAACGAAATCGCAGCGTTGAGATTTCTCAAGGCCTCACTGGGACCTCAGCGAAACCTCAATGGAACCTCAACGAATGGAACCTCAATTGAATCTCAGCGCTGAGATTTCTCAAGACCTCAGCGGGACACCCGTGGAACCTCAATGGAATCTCAGCGCACAGGACCTCGTGGGACCTCAGTGGGAACTCAATGAGACTCCTAGCGGTGAGATGTTCAGAGGCTCAGTGGAACTTGAGCGGGGAAGAAGTTGATTTTCGGAGTTGTCTTTTCATGTCCTCGCGCTGTCCTTGAGCCAAGCCTTGTGTTTTTTCTCGAGCCACCTCGCGCGGAAGTCATTCTGGGCAGTGCGGTCCCCCTTCAAATCCTGGTACTTACGCTTGTCTTCCTGGGACTCCTGGCTCTTTCCGGTGATGTGCCTGTCCCACTTCCCGCCCGCGGGGTTGCCCTTGCCGCCGCGCGCCTCGAAGCGGTGCCCGACCCAGGGCGGGCCGCCCCTCCCCCCTTCTGACCGGTGAAGGGGGAAGTGCGGAGGATGATGATGAGGAGGAGGAGGATGAGGAAGAGGGGAAGGGTAAGTATAGAAAGAGGGTGCGGCGGTGAGGACAAGGGAGGGGATGAGGCGGAGAGCATGCCCGCCCTCGCCTCCCCCCTCTCCCCCTCATCCTCCCCGAGCCCCGCCCTGGCCCAGTAGGACCGCCGCCATTTTGTCAAAGAACACTTTGAGCTCATGGTCCCTCTTGCTCAACTGCGGGGCCGCCACCTCTTCCACGAGCTCCTGTCCGAAGATGCCCTCTTGCGCCAGCGTCTCCTGGCATCGAAGCGAGCGAAGGTTGAGGCTGGACGTGGAGGGGTGGAGGAGGAGGAGGATCGAGGGGGAGAATGAGGGTGACGATGACGACGACGACGACGACGACGACGACGACCACGGTAAGCCACCGCTATCGCTCCTGACGAAGGAACTTGTTCTTCAGGTCGAGCGTGAGCTTCTTCACGTCGTGGCCCTGCTCGCTGATCATCTTCTCAACCTCGGCCTCGATCGCGTCCTCCAAGGTATCGTGCGTCTCGAACTGGACTCGGAGCCAGTCCTCCCCGTGCTTGAGAACCAGCACTGCGTCCTGGCAAAGCTCCACCAGTCTCCCGCCGCGAGCCGCCCCAAGAGCCAGTCAAGCTGCAACCCAAGGGGGGTGGGGGCGAGAGATCTGGCGGTGGCGACGTGAACCTGGACGAACCAGGATTTGGCTAGTGCGGGGGATGAGGAGGAGAAGGAGGAGGAGGAGGAGGAAGAGGAGGAGGAGGGGGAGGAGGAGAGAGCCCCGTCGGTCCTCGGGTCCCTCGGCGGCCGCATCGTCGCCTGCGGTGCCGGTGTCGGCGGCGCCAGCGTCGACGGCCGCGCTTGGATCCCCTGCTGGAGGCTGCGCCCCCATGGCCTCTGGGGCCTCAGGGAGCCCAACGGACCCCTCAGAAGCCACATCGGCCGCAGGGACCCCAGCGGGCTCACGGGACCCGAGAGCCTCCCCCACGTGTATCGTCTCCGCATCGGAGTCCACCTCTTGCTTGGCGGCGACGCAGCGGGCGGGGGGAGCCATCGGGGTCTCACGTGGCCAGAAATCGGGTGCTCGCACTGGGCGCTTGCAACCAAATTGCTGCGGCTGTGCACACGGGAATTAAACTAAAGACGAGAATTTGTTATCATCGTATTGTCGCCCTACCCTTCCTCCCCCTGCTCCCTCCTCCTCCCTCACCCTCCTGCTCCCTGCCCTCTCCTGTCGAGTTTGATGTTTTCCAGCACTGCGATCCCTGACCGACAATTCGCCAGGCCTTGCAACACCAGCGCCCCGAATGTGTGAGTTGAAACCCCGTGCGCATAGGGCGGCACATCACGAGCATCGATTCACGAGCTCGCGCTTTCAAAGCTGCTTGACCTATTACGCGGCCCTCGAAACAAATGAGAGACGTCGGATCGGAATGGTGATCCTCATCGATATTCAGGCCGTGTCGCCCTAAATGTTGCCAGGCGGCCCGTCCTCCGAGTCACTGGCATCGATCATCTGCGTCGCCGCGGCGTCCTCGACGCGCTCAGCGCTGAGCTTTCTCAAGACAGCAGGGGAACCTCAGCGTTTTAAGACCTCAGTGGGACCTCAGTTGGAACTTCAGCGAAACCTCAATGGAATCTCAGCGCTGATATTTCTCAAGACTTGAGTGGGGCCTCAGTGGAATCCCAATGGAATCTCAGCGTTGAGATTTCTCAAGACCTCAGTGGGACCTCAGTGGAACCTCAATGGAACATCAACGATTTCTCAACGCTGAGGTTTCTCAAGACCTCAGTGGGACCTCAGTGGAACCTCAATGGAACCTCAACGATTTCTCAACGCTGAGGTTTCTCAAGACCTCAGTGGGTCCTCAGCGGGACATCAATAGAACATCAGTGGAATCTCAATGGAATCCCAGCGCTGAGATTTCTCAAGACCTGAGTGAAACCTCAGTGGAACCTCAATGGAACCTCAACGATTTCTCAACGCTGAGGTTTCTCAAGACCTCAGTGGGACCTCAGTGGGACCTCAGTGGAACCTCAATGGAACCTCAACGATTTCTCAACGCTGAGATTTCTCAAGACCTGAGTGAAACCAGTGGAACCTCAATGGAACCTCAACGATTTCTCAACGCTGAGGTTTCTCAAGACCTCAGTGGGACCTCAGTGGAACCTCAATGGAACCTCAACGATTTCTCAACGCTGAGATTTCTCAAGGCCTCAGTGGGACCTCAGGGGGGCCTCAATGGAACCTCAGTGGAACCTCAATGGAATCTCAGCGATGAGATTTCTCGAGCCCCCCACCGGAGCTGCCATCCTTTATCATCACGTTTGTGTCCCGGTGAGCAGCGCTCCTGGTACGCCTCGGTCTCGTAGGGCGGAGCCTGCTGCATCTGCGAGTAGACCTGTGTACGGACGGGAGAGGACCCTGCCCTCGTGCTCTCGTCCCCTCGCCGCTTCCTCCTCCTCTTCCTCATCCTCTTCCCCTCCGCGTCCCTTATCTCCTCTTCCTCGTCCTCCTCCCCTTCTCTTCCTCCCCGATCCTCCTCCTCCTCCTCCTCCTCCTCCTCCTCCTCACCCTCCAGAGTTCGTGGTCTTCCCCCCACTTTCCCAGCCCCTCCTCTTTATCCTCCTCACCCTTGTCTTCATCATCCGTTGCCATTTCGGCCCCTCCTCATCCTCGCTCTTCCCCTCCTGCTTGGCATCCCGCCAAGCTACCTCGCCCGCCAAGCCACCGGACGCCGCGACGATGGGCTTGGCGTCGAACGTCTCGGCGGCGCACTCGCCGTCGGGATAGCCGTCCTTGCTGGCGAGCTCGCTCGCGGCCGCGGGGCGCTTCATCGGCGGCGCCTTCTCCTGGGATGTCGGTGACAGCTTCCTCTTGGCGCCGCTAGGGGTCCAAGCGCCCGATGCGGCATCCGACCCTGCGGCGCCGCCCGACTTAGCAGCGCCCGCCGCAACCTCCGCCTCTGCGTCCTCGACCTTCTTGATCCGCTTCTTGAGCACGACCTTCTCCACCTCGGCGTCGTCCTTCTCGAGCTTGTACGTGGACATCCGCTTGCAGATGTCAATCATGCCATTCAAGATGTCCTCCTGACCCTTCTCACTCGTGATATCAGTCACCACCAGCTGCAGCTTCTGCTGCGCCCCCTTCATCACGCAGAGCATGGAGATGTTCCGCTGGTTCTTCTGGAGAATCTTCCACATCTCGCCGTCCTCGTTCTCGATCGCGAAGTGCGTCAGCGACTTCTGCGACGTCGGCTCTGCAGAGTCGCGCATCGCCTTCAGCTGGATGTTAGTCAGCGTGGGGATAGTCCACGCCATCTCGTCACTCCAATGGGCTACAACATTATCTGTGGGCTCGGCTCCGGGATCCACCTTGAGCGCGAGGGAGCTCTCCGCGGCGCCCAGCGTGTCGTTCGGCAGCCGCTTCTGCCGCTGAGCCACCTGCCGGTGATGGCCCGTCTCTCCTCTCATCCATCCCCCCGTTGTATTCCCTCCCCCTCTCTCTCTCTCTCTCTCTCTCTCTCTCTCCCTGCCCCCTTCATTCCTATCCCTCCCCTTTCGAAACGCCGACGTACCTCGTCTTCGTCGTCGCTCTGCTCGATCGCGTCGTCGCGGTCACGCTCGTAGACTGATCCGAGGTCCGATGGGAGAGCGAACGTGCTCGGCTGGCTCCAGGCGTCGTCGTCATCGGAACGCTCCTCTCGGGACCCGTCCTCCACCTCATCTCACCCCTATTTCTCCTCTCCATCATCTCCCCCATCTCCCCTTCCCATTTACCACCTGCAGCTCCGCGTCGTACTTGAAGGCGTAGTGGTCGGGGTTCGGCAGCTCCGCGTCGTCGTCCGCGTCCTCCACGAAGGGCTGGAGCCACTCTGGTACATCCCTGTCCATGCTGCGCTGCTTGATCAAGGCCTGGTCCACGTCTCGACGCATGGCCCGCAGCCTTTTGGCCATGCTCGTCCCCCAGGGCTTCACCTCGCCCTTCTTGAGCTTCCACTCGGGCTTCTGGGCGGCCACCTGCGCGAGCACGAGCTCGAGCGGCTTCTGGCCGATGCCCCTCGGCACCTTCAAGATTATGGCGGTATGCTTCTTGATTTCCTCGATGTCGCGACGGCCTGTGTTCTCCTGAAGCGAGACGGGGGGGGGGGCACCGTTTTCCCCTCCACCAGGTCTTCCCGAGGTGCCTCTTTATTGCCCTCCCTTGCCCCCCCAAAAAACTTATCCTATCCTCCTCCCGTCCTCTCTCCCTTTCCTATCCCTGCTCCCTCCTACCCCTCCTCCCTGCCTCCTCTTCTCCTCCTGCACTCTCCTTCCTCCTCTGTTTTTGGAGTGCTCAGTGTCCTCACGGTACGGTGCGAGGCTGCGCGTCTCCAGGAGGGGCAACAGCGAGTCCGAGAGGCCGACGAACTCGCTCGGCTTGCTCTTCGGGGCCATGGCCCCGAGATATCAAATCAGAGCCCAATATATCAGCGAAAACAACTCCTGGAAAAAAAGCCAACACGGCTATACGAGGATGATGATGATGATGATGAGGAGGAGGCGGAATACAATTCACCATCCATCCGTGTAGCCGTTGTCAACTACGAATGAGCACGGAACCCCACTTTCTGAAAATGATCCTCCATCCATATAGCAAAAGCTCTAAATCAATCAGCGTGGGCCACCGGTGTTGAACTTCGCCCCCCTCTAGCCCTCAGTCCAATAGCTGCTGGAAGTTACCAGCTGGGGCGGGTAAAGAGGACGGTTCTGGTTTTCTACACTCGCTCCGCCTCCCCGCCCCGCCTTCCCCTTCCCGCCCGTTACCCCTGGGGCATTGTACGTCCGATAGACCCCGCATACGTGTATACACGCACGCGCGGCCCCGTGATGTTTCGAATCGTACCATACGCACCCGATTCGTATGATAAGCTGTACATATACGGACATTAGCCATGGGGGCTTGTACGCATTCTGTATGTTCTACTAGAATACGCATGCATGCAGCTGTGTGTTAATGTATATATGTATGTACACATACGTATCTATGCATATTATTATAGGTGTGTGTGTGTCATAATGTTGTAAATGTATATATATATATATATATATGTATATATGTGTATGTATACACACATATATATATGCACGTATTGATGTACACATGTGTGTGCGTGTACATGTGTAATGCTATGGTAGTGTAGGCACTAAACGCATGCGCGTTTATACATATTCATGTTGGGCCTGGATCTATAATTATAGATCCAAGCTCAATTATAGATCCGAGCGTCCGGATCTATAAAAGTATAGTTGAAGTTGGCGGATCTGAAAAGTAGATCCTGCGGACCCCAGGGCTGGGCCTCGCGGGCGCCCGGGCCAGTCGAGGCTTGCTCGACTCAGGGGCGGGGCCCCGCGGCAGTGGCCGCTTCTTGGAGCTGGGCGCGGCGTCGCCCTTGGTCGCGGCAGCATGCTTCGGCGGGGATGTCGCCGCCAGCCCGCTGGCCGCCATCGCGCGCTTGCTCTTTGGAGGCGAAGCCTCGGCCGCCAGCTTGAACGGTGAAGCCTGCTTCTCCCCGCGCGGGGTGCCGGGGGTCGCGGCCGTGGAGGCGCCCGCCACCGCGGCGATCAACCGGATGCTGTCTGGGCCGCAATCTCCCATGTCGCTGTTGACTGGGATGATGGCTGAGGCGCCCAAATTGGCGCGCGCTTCCGCGCTCTGATAGTCGTCCTCGAATTGGAGTTCCTTCAGCGTGTCCTGGATGGCGCTCACCCGACCATTACATGCGGCCACGAAGTGATGGAGGAGGAGGAGGAGGAGGAGGAGGAGGAGGAGGAGGAGGAGGAGGGGGGCCTGCCGCCGGAGGGGCGGGCTCAGATTCCTTCCGCTCGCCACAGGCGACAGCAGGCCCCCAGGGGCCTCCCTCCCTCCCTCTCCTCCTCCTCCTCCTCCTCCTCCTCCATCCTCCTCCTCATCACCGCGAGGATTGATGCCTGTGCAGCACTGCATCAGGCGTGGCGGAGAACAGGAAGGCACAGAACACAAGGTAAACACATGGATAGCATTCAAAACCTCTCAGCTTTCACAGAGCACCGCACTAAGTCCGAGGCGTGTGAGATAGTTCCCCCCCTCATATCCCCACCCCAGGGATCCCAAACCGGAGATTCGACCCCCCCCCCCGCCGACGACGAGCGACTCACGGGGCTCTCCTGGGCCCAGAAGGGGCTCAAGACAGGCCGAGAAGGCCCAAAAACGCCCCCAACACGGCCCACGAGGGCCCCGACACGCCAAACGAGCACTCCAAGACGCCCACGATGGCCCAAAGACGAGCCAATAGGCCTCCAAGACGGCCCAGGAGGCCTCCAAGAGCAGTCCCCAGAATGGCTTCGGAGCCGAAGTTCGTCAGATTCCCATGGGGAAGCGTACATTTTGATCATATACGACCTGTCCGCCTCCACGGCGTTCCAGACGGTCCAAAAACACTCCACGACCGTCCCAAGGCGGCCCAAGAGGCCCCCAAGAGGCGCCCAAGCTGGCCCAAGAGGGCGCCAAGACAGCCCAAGAGGCCCCCAACGCGGCCCAAGATCTCCAAGACGGCTCCAAGAGGGGCCCCAGACGGCGAGCCCGAACCGATAATCCGAGCCTTCCGCCCCAAGACGGCCTTAGAAGGCCCCAAGAAGCCACAAGAGGCTCCCAAGACGCCCCCAGAAGGCCCCAAGAGGCCCCCACGACGCCCCAAAACGGCTCCAAAACGGCCGTCAAGAGGCTTCGAAACTGCCTCCAAGAGTTCCGCGAGAAGCCCCGCAAGAGATCCCAGCGATCACTGCACAAGCGGGATTCGCGTTCCCGAAGGCAAGAACCCATAATCCATGACCCAGACCATTCCCCCCCCCCCCCCCCTCCGCCTCCTCCTCACCTGTTTTTTTCCACCTCGGCCTCCCAGTGGCTTCAAAACTTGTTCCACGAGCCCCCGGAAGGCGTGCCGCGAAATCCCGATACACATACAAGAACCGCCCACCCATAGACCACAACCAAGAGCCTCGTCTCAGTGCCCCTCCCCTTTTCCTCCTCCACCCTCTCCTCGCGCCCCTCCTGCTCGTCCCCCTCCTCTTGTTGCTGGCCCGCTTCACCTCGTCATCTTCGATGATTATCCCCCGTATCCTCCGCCTCATCCCCCAATCTCCTGTCCCCGTTCCCCTTCTCCCTCCTGCGCCCGATTCGGCATCCTTTGCAGGTATTGCACTTGGGGTTGTTTTTGTTTGCGTCGCGCGGGACGTTGCGCGGGTCGGGGAGCGCCGACTTCGGCAGTCTTCTCTTGCACGCGCCGCTGCACTGATGCGCCTGCCCCCCCCCCGTATCCCCCGCCTCATCCCCCAATCTCCTGTCCCCGTTCTCCTTCTCCCCCCAGTGCCCGATTCGGCATCATTTGCAGGTCTTGCACTTCAGGGTGTTGTTTTGCGTCGCGCGGGACATTGCGCGGGTCGGACAACGCCGACTTCGGCAGTCTTCCCTTGCACGCGCCGCTGCACTGATGCGCCTGCCAACTGCGGGCTGTGAACCCGAGTTCCTTGCAGCCTCCGCACACCACCTTCGATCCTTTCGCCGCTCGATGATCTTTCTCTTGCTTATGCTTCAAATGTCTCGTGTCCGAGAACGCTTCTCCGCACGCCGCGCACGTCAGCGGCTTCGCCTCGGCCTCGGCTGTTCGTTTGAAATTCCCTGCCTCGTAATTCGTCCGCAAAACCGCCTTCTCCCGTTCTTCCGCGCACTTCCGACCCAATCTCTGGCCCGCTGCGTTGTGCTTCTTCTGGGCTTCCGACATATCCACCTTTTCGTCGTGCAGCGAGGGGCGCGTCCCGTTCGTACATCGCACTGTTCCGACGCTCTCGTTCCACTTCGCATTGCCTTTCCGCGAATTCTGCCGGGCTTTGACATGGCTGCACTTCCCGCGATACACTGTCCTAATCATTTTCGTCTCCCCGCCGTCCGCCGCTGAAACCGAAATCCGACCACTGCCGCGCCGTGCCGCGTCGTCACCCTCTGCTCTCGTTGCCCACCCTCCGCGCGCTGTGCGCCATTTCTCGCCTGCGTTTTTCATTTCCTCCGCGCGCTCTTTGCAGAGCGCCGGCCTGCCCCCTCTCTGGGATTCATACTTCGTGAACGCCTCTACCAACGACCTCCGCCGGCAGCGTTCGCACTGGTCCCGTGGCATTAGTACCGCCCCCCAGTCATCCCAATTCACATGTTCCCCGCGAAGCACCTGCAACGATTTCTGCGCGCCGGGCATTTCCCCCGCGTTGTACGGCTTCCTGTCGAAAGGCCTGCAAATCAACAAGTTCTCCCGCTTCCGCACGCGCGCGATGGCAACGTAACTCGACATCCAACTTACGCCGCGCCCTCTTTCGAGGCCCGCAATCACTGCGGCCATGGTCCGGCCCTGCGCAGAGTGCGCAGTTACTGCCGAAGCCGGGGTGATCATGAACTGCGTGCGTTTCGCGCATAATACTGGATGCTCCCGATACCCGTCCAAGAACCATTGCCGTCCTCTCGATGGAAAGATCGGATACAGCCCCGGCTCCCACCCTGGCAGGTGCCACTCTTTCGTATTTAAGTCCAACACAATGACTCTCGGCAGATGCATCAATACTTCCTCTTCTTCATCACCCACGCCCTCATCCTCGTGCAACGCCCATCCATGTATCGTCGCTGCGCGACCCCGCAGAAGCTGCTTCTTTGACCGATCTAAGTGATCACCCAGAGCCACGGGCATGCCCTTGGCGAACGGCAGCCAGCCCGGCAAGCTTGCGCACTCCTTCTCGTGGTACCCCAGCCAACGTATATTATCCTCCACCGTGTACGGCCGCCTCTGTTCCCCCCCGTGGCAAGGGCGGTCCCTGGCTGCGACCCGCAGCAGCTCTTCTCCTCGCTCCTTCGCCCACTGCGCAGCTCTCTGCTTCCCGACGTGGCAACGAATGTCCTGGTTCGCATAAATGGCGACAGCCTCCAGGAACTTCTCCCCCCGAAACCGCGCGTCTTCTGGCGACGTGGCAACGAGCTTTCTCTTCTCCCGCTCAGCTTTGCAAGCGTCACATTCGAGCTCGTTTTGCTTCGCAGTTGCCTCTATGTCTTCGAGACAACGAGCGTTTCCGCACAACGGAGAACCGTTCACCCGCGACCCCGGAACATCCGTCGGTTTGCCATGCAAAAAAACGGCGCGTGCGTTCGGGCAACGCCCCTCGGCGGAACTCGTCCTGCACTGCGAGAAACCAATCGTCTTGATCCTCCACGCGCTTGCATTCCGTCAACTCTGTCATTCCTTGCACTGCTCCTTCGCCTCCAGCACCCCAGAACATGTACTGGCCGTGGTCCTCCGTGGCACCCGGCGCGTACTTCCTCGCGTTTTTTAAATGCGACGTGGGGAGCGCATTGATTGCCGCCCCTGATGGCGGCTCCAATTGATAGGAAGTCACCGCAGAACAACACATTCACGCCCCCGAAGGGCCTGGCAATGTCGTCTCCGCCTACCTTCGTCTCACTTGAAGCTGATGTGCACGACCGCAAGCGCGAGTCCAGCTCTGCAGCAAAGTTCGCGCTGACCATGCTCACTTCGTCCACAATCAGCCACTTCCACTGTGACATACGCTGCGCCGCTCGCTCTTTCTCCGGTTTCTTCCTCGTTTCTGCGATGGCATCGCCCGCCGCGTCCTTCTTCTCTTTCGCATTGTTCACACCGAGTCCAGATCCACTGTGAATCGTATTCCCGTCCAGAGCTGACGCGTTTGTAGCCTGCAACGCTGCTACCTGGAAATCTATGCCGTGCGTCCACCCCAGCTCCTGTTCGAGCAGCCCCTTCCGCATCTTATCTATGACGAAACTTTTTCCGGTCCCCGGGCCACCATGCAACATCCACACGAGAGGCTGCATATCAGAACGGCTCTGGCCTGCTTTCTTGCCGCTCGCGGAAATCCCGAATTCTTGCGCCAACACACGGCCTGCCACCTTCTCCACGATGCTACGCTGTCCCGCGTTTAACCCGCTGTCCGCAAGGCCACGTCTCCATTTCCGCACACTCGACGCAGCGGCTTCTTTGGCCGCCACCACTTCTGGGGCGCCTTCCTCTCCAACAGCGCCGCTGCCTTCTGCGGCCCTCGACGCCGCGGCCACCGCTTGCGCCTTCTGCGCGGCCGCGTCATCCCACCTCGACACACCGCCCCCTCCGCGCTTCCTGCGCTTTCCACTCTTTCGACTCGGTCTCTCGCCCCGCGCGGCGTCGCCCCTGGCCACGGCCTCCCGGCTCTTCTCCTTTTCGCACACCGCGTCTACATCTGTCCGTCGGTCCTCTTTCTCCATGGGCGTGCCTCCCACGCGCGTCTTACGCCTGGTCGCCGCGTCGACAATTCTCGGATCCAGTTCTTCATCGCTGTGCAGCTCGTCCTCGTGCTTCACTAGATCTTCGTCCGCGACTGGTCGCAAATCCACCGCGCCCATGTAGTTCTGCACGTACCTCTTCGTTTCTTCACACGGCATCCCTTTCCTGAGCCACTCCAAAGACGCCTCCGCCCACGACCCCTGCGCTCCGCGGAACTCCCGCAGATGCGGCACTCCACAGTCGACATCGTCACGAAGTGTGAAGGCCCGGAAGTATACCATGAGCAAGAGCGCGTTCCTATCCTCCTGCCCCGCTCCGCGTTTCGGCTGCGGCGCTCCATGAAAACTGGGGTTTCTGGGGCGCTCGTTTCGCACAGGCACCCGCGTGT